ATTGAGTTGAATAAAAAGTATTAAAGTATTGTCTTCGTTTATGTAATTTTAATACTTTTTATGTCTTACTAACCTATCATAGCACATTTTATATCTGTGATACGCGGGCATAAAGTACCACTTTATGCCCTAGGGCATTCAGTATCACCATAGTAACTCATTTATACTTAATGACAAAACAAACAAATATTTACAGGTCATTGAAAATTAGAAACGTCAATTATTAATTGTCAATACCTACTAAGTCACAAGATTGGCCTTATAACAGTTTCTGGAACTTCCTCCTCATTCACAATGAATTGAATTATTTAAAATTACGTTTGACGTTTGGATGGTTTCAATCACATTAACAAATTTGAACCACGCATACTCGATCAAACATAATGAATTATTTTGTAAACGAATTTTGACGAAGAAAACTATTTGTAAAACATAAAATTGTGTATGTACCACGGGCATAAACTGATGTTTATACTCTCGGGCGACTAAAAAGCTCTCGGGCTATAGGCCCTCGAGCTTTTTAACTCGTCGCCCTCGAGAATATAAACATCACTATTATGCCCTTAATACATAAATAACTATTATTCAACTCAATGTCCCTGCATTATATAATTTAATTGACGGTAATAATTTTAATTCTGTGTTCATCAAATTCATATGATATACTTTTAGCATAGCCTGATGATGGGTGGTTAAACCCGAAATCGATCGCTTTAGAAACAATAAACAATTGTGGTTCCTTTTTTACATATTAAAGCAAATAACTAATAATGTATTCTTTGATTTACACCATCAAAATACATTTAAACTTCACAAATAAATGTATACTTCTCAATTAACGTTTAAAATGCATAGGAAATATTCTAATGTGTGCCAATCGGCAGCCATATTTTGTTTTAAGTAACACGTGATCTGGAATGAACCATAATGAGATCAATATGCACAGTGCGTAGCTAGAGTCATCTGCGCCCCTTCTCAGATGAGCCCCTAAGAAAATTTTGAAATTTTACGGTTTATATGGTTCATTTCCGAAGCATCTGATATTGTAATGAAATAGAATACAGACTAATAATAACACGTTGAATTTCTTCTTCTGCAGAAAGTCCTGCATCTCTTGCTAATTCTCCAGGCATCCTCCGAACTCCTCTAATCCTTCTGTCAACCTCGATTCCCCAAGTTGTGCATCTTGTTTTTCCATTGTCCACCGCAACCTTGCTCAAATTATCACGAACGTTGACAAGTTCTTGCTCCAGCGATTCAAGATCAGATGATGCTTCCTTGAAATTCATGTTCCAGAAATATAACAAAACTAGGAAATTAAAGTTTAATATACCTGCCAGCAAAGTTTCGGCATCACTTCTGGTGTCAGTCGTCATTGCATCTTCTGATAATTTTTCCAACAGCCCTACTAGGTCATCTAGTCCTTCATAAATAGCTTTAACAGCTTCTGATCGTGCACTCCCTCTTCACTGTGATTGGCAGAACTCTTTTTAATTCTTCCCAACGAGTTACTGAACGAGAGAAAAACAAATATATATTTTCACCCGTTCCAAAAAACGTGATAACAACTGGATCCTGTTTAGCTGAGTGTACTCTTGCTAAGTTTAAGCTGTGGTTGTTACAGTTGACGAACAATGCTCTGTGATTTCTTGCAGATATTCGTTGTTGAAGGCCGGATATATGTCCAGTCATTACAGCAGCATTGTCATAACACTGTGACCGACAGTCGGCTAGAGGTATGTTATCAGATTCCAGTTTCTCTACGATAACTCTTTCAAGGTTTGCTGCGTCTTTGGAATGTATCTGAACAAAACCTAGAAATGATTCTTTGATGGTTACTGTTTTAGTTTGAAAGTCCACATCCACAAATCTGATTACTTGAGAAAGCTCTTCGCGGTGCCCTAGATCAGGTGTTGAGTCAAGTAAAATACCGTAGTATTTGTTTTTGCTGATTTCACTCAAGAGCTGATTCCTTACAGTCGATGCAAGCAGGTGGATAAATTCATTTTGGATTTCCGGTTATAAATAAGATACAGGAAATAAACGACTCAATTCCTCAAAACCTTCCCCATGGATATTTTAATTATTGACGAACAGATATAATTGCGAAATGTTACATGTTTCGATTGTTAATCATCTTCAGGTAACAAATTCTAAGTACGGTGCGTGAGAAAATTATATTATTGAAAAGTTGTTGAAGTCTTGACGTTACATATTGAAGTTTTGAGGTTACATTGAAATATTATAAGTAAAATTAAATTATTTAAATTAAATTGTGTTAACGGACCATGGTGAAGAGGATCGATTTAAACGGACAATAACATAGTTGATACAAAAACACACGGCCAACGAAGGGCCAAGCGGAAAACCACCTATACAAATATTAAGAACATTGTAATAACTCATTGATGAACAAAGATTATCATTATTTAATTTTTAACCCCATTGGGCAATTAACAGATCTCGGCTGCTTAATATGAGAATTAGCATTGAAATTACAGACGATGCTACATTTAGATTAGGGATGGATTCGAGCCGAGCTTTTTGAAAACTCGACTCGGCTCGAAATCATGGGTGTCCAGCTCGGCCCGAAACTCGGCTCGAAAAAATTACTTCAGCTCCACTCGAAACCCGGCTGGTTTTCGAGCCGAGTTTCGAGCAGAGCCGAGCTAAGCTCGAATTCCAAACATTAGGATTTACATTTGAAGGTTAAAAACTACGTCGGCGTCACTTTCAATTTGTTCTTCTCCTTCAGCAACATTAAAACTAAGTGAGCGAAGAATATCCTGGACAGCAAGGTTAAGAACGTGGGCCATGCATCGAAAGTGCTGATTTATGCTGTCAAAGCTGGGAAGTAGATTTTTTAGCTCACTCATAAAAGTAGTATTCGCTGCCGCGTTATCAACAGTTACTCCTCGAATTTTTGAATTAATTCCATATTCTTTTACTGTATCGAAAAACAATTTTGCTATATCTTTCCCGGCATGTTTTCCACGAGACGGAACGAAATCGATGACTATGGACTGAAGTTCCCAATTTTGGTCGATATAATGTCCTGTGGTGCCATAATACGATTGACCATTTATCGCCGTCCATCCATCTATGGTGAAAGAAATGTTCGACTTTTTTGTTTTAAAATCGTTAATACCTTTCGCTTCAGATCAAAGAAACGATCCAAAATCATTTTTTTAAGGACTTTGCGTCGTGGTGGTGTCCAGCCAAGCGAAATTTGAGAAAAAAACAATCTTGTGGCGTCATCGTCAAAGATTCAATGGAAGGTATTTTTTCGCAACCCAATCAACAATGGTGCCTTGATCTACACCTTCTTTTGTTAAAAAACTTTGAGATTGGAAAAAGTGGATGGTGGTGGTACTCTTTCTAGGGGAGAACTAGAGCAAAAGAATGACGCCCTTGAGCGGGCGCAGAAACTGCAAAGACTTGCCGATGAAACTAGAGGTATTTGTTTAGGAGTGGGTGCACTATTAGGGAATATTCTTTGAAATTCATGTCTATGTTGTTTTTGTAAATGCCGCTTTAAGCTAGTTGTACTAGAGGTTTTTACTTTAACTACCGCTTTTTTTTAAAATTTCTTTACATAACTTGCATATTGATAATTTCATGTTATGTCAAATAACTTGAAAGTCAAAGTAAATTGAAAACTTAATACTTCGACTATGACTCGATTGTGCACTAGAAGTGTTAGATTAGACGGACCAGGAACTTCTTCGGTTACGCTGATACTAATTTCACAATCGCTCATTGGTTCACTTAAAGATTCTGTAGGTACATAGTCCGCATCTCTCACACTATCATCAGATCACTATCAAAGTCGCTCATTTTTAATGATTTTTGCAAGAATCGAAAAATTAAGACGATAAACAGAATAACCCTCTAATCTAACGCAGACAAATTCGAACTGAAAAGGAAACACTATGCGTCGAAAATGTGACAAACAGACTAAAGAAACACGTCTACAAGTTACCTACAGTTGCAATAAAGGAGCGACATGCAATACAACGGTTGTATTTGTTTACCAGCCTCAAGGATGTCCCAAGAAATAAAATCTTAATAAAAACCCGCTACAATTTCATCTGTAAGCATTAACGAATGTATATTTATATAGGTAACATTACCTATACAATGAAGCATTGAGCAATGAATGAAGCTGCTAGAATACTATCAGCCGCCGAGTCTGCATCGCACCATTTAAAAAACATAAGTGTAGATGATATCACATTTTAGACGGTAAACATATCAAATTGACACACAGCAAAATTAATACATCCATTATAAATACATTCAGTCGAGCTTCAAACAAGCAACTCGACTCGACTCGAAAAAGACACAGGCGGGCTCGATGCTCGGCTCGAATGTAATAAGTTGAGTTCGGCTCGAAAGAATATTGAGAAAGGTTAGTTTACCTAATACGTTAACTCTTTCCAGCTTGATGGTTGCCCGATGTACCACCTAATTGTGGGTCTTTTGGGTATGGTGATACACGCATCGTACCACTTGGTTATTATTTTTTACTGCGTTGTATAATGGTGCTACTATCGTACCACAGCGGTTATAGATCCCTGTTGTGAGTGTGCATATCATATTATAGGTGTCGCCGCGCCCTCGCAGAAAAAAATCAAGTTAGCCGCGCTTTTGTTTCGCGCGTAAAACTTTCAGATTAGTGGCACTGTTTTGGTTTTAATTTTGTGTAAAAATAGTATTTTCGTGGTGATTACCGAATTATATTACAGCTTGTCAATCGGAAGTATTGTTGCATGTACTAGTTTATGATTTTCAGTAGATTCACTTTACAAAAATTGTTAGTTTTTTGGTGTCCTTGCTTTGTACCACCATGCAACTAGCAAAAAATTATAAACTTTTTTCATAGTTTAGTGGCTCACCATTTATTTCTATTATCACTGCTATTATGACTACTTCTCTCAATCATATAGACCATTATCAGTAAACGCAAAGCGGACCCACTGCCTTTTAAGCTTGTTGACATGGCGGAGGAAGAATTATGCGAAGAGATATACGGAGAGGATATTTATGCAGATATTCCCAGTGATGCAGAATCTTTTGCACCTGATTTTTGCGTTGAAAGCAGCGATCGTGAAGATGAAGTGGATGAAATAATTGACATTCAAGTACCTAATAATAAAAATTAAATTTTTATTGCATACTAAAATTAATTTACAGGTCGTAGAAAGTGAATCTGACGAGTCTGAGTTTGATATACCGCTTGCTCAATTACAGTCTAGAAGGGCTAATGCTCGGACTAATGACACCCCATCTACCTCGACGACCAAACCTGCACCAGAGACAGTTATCTGGAACAAGACACAAGCCTCAAATCAATGTTTTCCGTTTGTTCAAGATAGTGGAGTTGCCGATTTTATCCTCCTGGGAAACTTTTCCAAGTCTTCTTTGACGATGGCCTTTTGGAACATATCGTCTTTCAGACAAACCTTTATGCCAACCAAACAATCCTCCAAAAGTCAAAGTCAACTTCTATCACCCCAACTACAAAGTGTGAATTTATGGCATTTCTGGGCATAAACATATTAATGGGAATTAAAGTTCTCCCGAGTTACCGAGATCATTGGTCTTCATCCCCTGATCTTCATGACCCATATATAAGTCAACTAATGAATGTAAACAGATTTAGTTGGATACTTGGCAACGTGCATCTCAATGACAATGAAGTTATGCCAAAGAAAGGTCAACCAGGTTTTGATAAATTATTCAAATTGCGGCCTTTTTTAGATGTTATGCAGCAAAAGTTTGAAGCATGCTTTTCACTAACCGAATGTGGTGCAATCGACGAATCCATGATTAAGTTTAAAGGACGAAGTTCCCTTAAACAGTACCTCCCCAAAAAACCTATAAAGAGAGGTTTCAAGGTTTGGTGTTTGGCGGATGGTTCAGGATATTTGAGTAAGTTTCAGATCTACACTGGAAAACAAGACAACAATGTAGAGAAGGCTTTAGGACCACGCGTCGTGAAAGATTTATGCTCTGGTTTAGAGAATAAGGGACATAGAATCTACTTTGATAATTATTTTAGTTCTGTCAATTTGTTGCATGATCTAAAAGATAAAAAAATTAATGCTTGCGGTACTATAAACAAAAACCGGAAACATTTGCCAACTTTTAGTTCCGATAAACAGCTGAAAAGAGGTGACTATGATTATTTTGTTAACAACAAAGGAATTGCTACCACAAAATGGAAAGACAAAAGGGCAGTTTTTTTTATTTCAAATTTCCACAATCCTCAAGATACTACCACTGTCAAGCGTAAAGCCAGAAATGGGTCTATTGAAGACGTGCCCTGTCCAATTATGTTGACCGACTACAACGCACACATGAACGCTGTTGACAAATTTGACCAGAAAAAATCCTCCTACGAAATTGATAGGAAAAGCCGAAAATGGTGGCATCGAATTTTCTTTTACTTTGTTGACGCTTGTATTGTGAACAGTTACATTATTTATGAAAAGCTGGGTTTACCGAAAATGACTCTGAAGAATTTCAGGCGCAAAGTGGTGGAACATCTTGTTTGTGAAACATTGACCCATACCAATACTAAGAAAAGAAGAAGTAATCCTGTTGTCGCTGCTATAAGGGAACACAAGCTATATGTTCCTGACAACATTCGCCAAAGGGAAGCAGCACATTTGCCCATTAGGTCGAGCAGAAGACGATGCGGGCACTGCAGCACAAAAAGTAAACAAGTTCGGACCAAATGGATGTGCACAATGTGCAAAGTCCCACTATGTTTGAAAGACGACAAAAATTGTTTTATTCCATTTCATAAGAAATAAATAAAAAAATTCTTATTAGCTTTTTTTACCTACCGCCCGTACTTGAGATATTCCTATTTGGCAGCTAAGCCTAATAATAATAATAATATGCGAAACCACTTTTCTTTCACGATGCTACATGGTGGTATCAACCCCAGTACCACCTCCTTTTAATTGTTTATAAATTAAAACTTTAACAATTTTAATTTTTTTTCTAATTTTACTAACGTTTTGATCCCAGAAACATATTTTTTAAGTTTAAATTTAAACAAAATTTTTCTCGTGCAACTAAGGTGTTTCGTTACTCAAATTTCCGTGCAGCAAAGAGTTAAAACAGCGGACGAGAGATTACAAATTGTGCTGCGTAATACTGGCTACGTAAGTAATTGTACAAGTGCTGCCATCCGGTGATGTATAACTTTATTTGTTGGATAAATAGGGTTTTTTATTTGGAAATTTAAAAAAATGAGATAAAAAATTTCAAATGTGAATTTGGAACACACCTGTTTAAAAAGTGGCGGTTTAAACACACATCGTTAAGTAACTTCGTACAGCGCAATTATTTCCACAATGATGATCCCCTCGGTAAAAATGGCATTTGAACAAACATAGTTTGAATAAAATATAGCTTAATTACGTAAATACGGTTTAATCCGGTTACTCGAATGATTCATTCAATTAAACATAAAAGGACCGCATTACCAAAACATTGTTAAAACAAAGTAAACAGAGGAGAATTTTAAGCATGGATCTCTAACAAGAGTACGAAGTGAAATATACGTACTAATTTATTTTAGGCGCAATCGCCGTCATAACATGAATTATAAACGGCCACATTTACGCTAACATTGGGAGAAATTTTTAATGAACTTAACTAAGGTATTATTTCTTTTAGATTTTAAAGATAAATTCATGAACGCTTGACGCAAGCATGCATATTGAACAAAATTTCGCGTTTCGTAACGTAACATGAGAAAAATTTTAATATCCGTCAAGCATAGAATTATAATAACGTACTGGAAAAATCGTTTACCTGTAATCTATGCTTAAATATCAAGGTATTAGATTACAGGTATCGAATCCGTTGCATATTTAAAGATGCATGACTTCAATGGAATATGAGATGAACGTTATGTATGCAAAATGAAATTTCGTTTTGCAATACCAATATTGGTTATACATATTACTTATTTCTAATTTCCTAGCAAAATAACTTTTCTCGCTAAACAGATCAACTGTTACTTCACTGCTCTTGATTTCAGTTCAAATTTAACATTTAGAAAATCCAGGCCGAAGCAAATCTACCCGGAAATAATTTTCTTATGTTTTCCTTTGATTGAGAAAGTAAATAATATTCCCATACAAACACTGTTACATCTAAACTAAAAATCCAGTCATTACTGTGGAAAAGGATCCACGTTTTATTTCAGTCTATAACGTTGCCTACTTAGTCGGTATACAACGAGGTGTGTATACCCTTCCTCTATGGCAATCAACCCAAACAAAACGAATGTTTTTATATCTTAAGAACGTTGGTACCCATTAGTTTACTTGTGCCAACAACAACTGTGTTCCAGTATGCTACTCATAATTGAATACTAACGGGTTAGTTACTTTAATAAATACTTAGTGAACTTAGTTAATTGCATATAGTAAGTAAAACAAAGGCGATCAAGTTTCTTTACACGTTCCTATTGGGGTGGTTTATAAAAAGAAATACAAAAATAATCCCGTGATCACGTGTCCAAGTTACACAACTCTAAATGCTAAACAAAATTTTAATCCAACCAAAGGAATGGTATCACTCTAAGGTAATGCAATTTCCAATCAATGCATTCGATTTTTATTCATAAATATTCAAATCTTTCATGCAAACAGCTCTCATAGGTCGATTCTTTTAGGAACATTAGAGTTACTTCGAACTAAATTCCTTATGCAAATTCCTAAAAATAACCGACCAAATTAAAAAATTTAAAATAACTTATAGTCTAAGAGCCCGCGACGCAAACCATTACCATTCAAATAGCAGCATAAAACGTATACATGAACAAGCATTGGAGGTGACCATACACGATACGCTCGGTCTGTCGAACCGCATTTAGTCGGAAGGTAAACAAATTCAATTGTTTATTTGTATATTTCATAAGAAATCATTACTTTTAAGAAAAGCAGGCCATATGTGGTACCAAATTAAAACTCTTGACGTCAGCTGCACAAATAACTCGGTCTGTCGGCAGGCAAATAGCCGGAAATCCTTGACAGACCGACATTTAGTCTGCTGCTAGAAGCCCACATTTCAGTTAGTTATAAATTTCTACGGTCACTCTGATCCAAGCATTTTAGTTCTGTACCAAAGAGTAAATAACCATAAACCTCTACAGCGGATCTAAAAAAGCGGCTGAGCTCCTCGGTTTGACCCTACGGGATCATTGAACATTTAATCTGCTGCTGGAATCCCATAGTTAGCTCAAAATATAAGAGAATCATTCAATTCAAAAACAAAACGGTACAAGCTCTGAAGCTCATCAATGAGATTACAAAAGCATGTCAGCTGAAGTAATGAAACAATTGTAAAGTGAAGAAAAGTATTAATTTCATATTTTGTCGATAACTTTTCTTCACTTTACAATTATTTTGTGGGATTCCAGCAGCAGACTAAATGTTCAATGACCCACAATAAATTGGTATAAATGTTTGAGAACTGCAGATGCATTAGAGGTAGATATATATATATATATATATATATATATATATATATATATAGGGTGTTACACGACCGTTCGAAAAAAAAAATCGGGTTGTAGAGGGCATCAAAACAAGCACTTTTTCCAAATAAACCGAGGGTCCAACGTGTTTCGTTTGGGAGCCACCCCCCAAAGAGTGTTGAAATCTGCATTTCTTCTTTAATTTTTTTCTCAGCAACCATAAGAGTTACAAAGTCGGGTGCCATGTCTTTGAATAGGTTTTTGGGTATGCTCTTTCCGATTTTGCAATTTTTTTTTCAAAATTCCTACCCCTAAAGGGCGCACCCCTAAACTAGGGGGCAAAAAAAAATTCTGATTTCGACGAAATTTGGTATCTGGGGGGTTTTTAACATGAAAATCACGAATCTGAAATTAGTTTTTGAAAATTCGAAAAAAAAAGTTCCACTGCAATTCTTGGCGGGACAACGAAAATAGAGATAATTCCACGAAATTTGTTGTGTGCATACTAAACGAGTTAAGGAACAAAACTGTCGAACAGTTTTTTAAAATAACTTTTCAAACAAAAGTTATACTCATTTGAATGTTGGTCCTTCGGGTCGCGAAGTGTCCCAAGCCTACTAGTAAGCCATAATTTCGCATGTGTTGGTTGACAATGTCGCAAAAACAAAAGATTAACGGTTTGAGTCGATATTTTGTTATTTGGAATTAATTCGGTCATTAAATGATTAAAAAATTCGATGTATCGATTAAAACACCTACCAAGGTATCTTAAAGGGCTGATCGATTGTTTATTATCTAAATAAGGTAGGGGAAATTTGTCCTTAAAAGGAGCGTGTTCTTTTGGAAGTTATTTTTCAACCTAAGATTATGAAAATTTTTGATCATAGTGAAAAAGTATCATACGGAAAGTGATTTGACTTTTTCCCCTACCTTATTTAGATAATAAATAATCGATCAGCGCTTTAAGATACCTTGGTAGGTGTTTTAATCGATACCTACATCGAATTTTTTAATCATTTAATGACCGAATTAATTCCAAATAACAAAATATCGACTCGAACCGTTAATCTTTTGTTTTTGCGACATTGTCAACCAACACATGCGAAATTATGGCTTACTAGTAGGCTTGGGACACTTCGCGACCCGAAGGACCAACATTCATTCAAATGAGTATAGCTTTTGTTTGAAAAGTTATTTTAAAAAACTGTTCGACAGTTTCGTTCCTTAACTCGTTTAGTATGTACACAACAAATTTCGTGGAATTATCTCTATTTTCGTTGTCCCGCCAAGAATTGCAGTGGAACTTTTTTTTTCGAATTTTCAAAAACTAATTTCAGATTCGTGATTTTCATGTTAAAAAAAACCCCAGATACCAAATTTCGTCGAAATCAGAATTTTTTTTGCACCCTAGTTTAGGGGTGCGCCCTTTAGGGGTAGGAATTTTGAAAAAAAAATTGCAAAATCGGAAAGAGCATACCCAAAAACCTATTCAAAGACATGCCACCCGACTTTGTAACTCTTATGGTTGCTGAGAAAAAAATTAAAGAAGAAATGCAGATTTCAACACTCTTTGGGGGGTGGCTCCCAAACGAAACACGTTGGACCCTCGGTTTATTTGGAAAAAGTGCTTGTTTTGATGCCCTCTACAACCCGATTTTTTTTTCGAACGGTCGTGTAACACCCTGTATAGTAGGTATACAATAATACTGAGTGTTGATCATTTTAGTGGCTAAGTGCGAGTTTCAAAACCCCGGTGGATCCGTCAAAGATCGAATTGCACTTTCTATGATCGAAGATGCCGAGAAAAGGGGATTGTTGAAACCGGGATGTACAGTTATTGAACCAACCTCTGGGAACACCGGTATTGCGTTGGCTATGGGGTGCGCAGTTAAAGGTAGGGTGCAGTTATCAATTTTGGTAAAAGACAATTTGTACCTGTGTTTTAGGGTACAATTGTATTTGTGTTGTGCCGGACTATACGTCACCAGAGAAGCAAGATAGACTTAAATCTTTAGGTGCCAAAGTGGTGGTAACCCCATGTTTACCGGTAGAGCACCCAGATGGTCCATTTCTGGTTGCCGAGAGGTTATCACAAACTATTCCCAATTCAATCATACTCCGTCAGTTTAACAATCCCCACAATCCCATGGCTCATTACAATGGCACTGCAATTGAAATTTTAGACCAGTGTGGGGGACAAGTCGATATGGTGGTAATAACCAAAACATATCCAATTATTTAATTTTCACATCAGTATTTCGAAGACGGTTGGAGTAGGCAGCGGTGGATCGGCTGCTGGCATTGGACGTAGGTTAAAGGAGTTGCTTCCAAATTGTTTAATGGTCGGTGTAGACCCTTCAGGATCTACAATTGCGGAACCGCCTTCTTTAAACGAAACTGGTGTGACGGGCATTCAAGTTGAGGGAATGGGTCACGATTTTAACCCAACAATATTAGATCGGAAGGTGATTGATTTTTGGGTAAAGGTCGATGACAAGTCCGCATTTGAAATGGCCAGGCGATTACATAGGGAGGAGGGGATTTTGTGTGGTAAGTGCTCAATGTGGTCTCAATAATCATCGCATTAAAAATACTTCACTCATTTGTAGCCCAAATGTAAAATTAAATTGTTTAGTTACGAATGATTTTGCAGGGGGCAGTGCTGGATGTTTAATGAGCGGCGCACTTCAAGCAGCTAAACAACTAAAAGAAGGACAGAGGTGCGTAGTTATTCTTCCGGACGGTGTGGGAAATTACCTTACCAAATTTGTATCGGATTACTGGATGGAATCGATGGGTTTCATGCACCCGGTTAATACATTAAATCACTGGTGACTATATTCGTGCCAAAACCATTTAGAATGTGCTCACATATTTCCTAGGTGGTGGAACTACAAAGTGTCAGATCTTAAGCTCAGTCTGGAACCAATGACTATTTCTCCTACATTGAAGTGCATGGAAGTTTCGAGGCTGTTGAAGAAGGATAAACTTGATGTACTTCCGTGCGTCGATGATAAAAAGTAAGTAAAACTACGCAAATTATGTCGGTAAAAATATCGTTACTTGTAGTGTATTCCACGGGTTGCTACATGCAACGAACCTAGTCAATCAAATGCTGAGAAATATTATCCATCCAAATGATACTGTCGAAAAAGTGCTTTCTCAGAAATACAGAAAGGTAACATTGGAATCAAACTTGGGAGAGTTGTCTCATATACTTGAAAGGGAATTAGTTGCTGTCGTTGTTGAAGAAATTGAAGGTAAGATGAAATAGATCTGTGGATTTTAATTTACTTCTTGGTTTTCAGTAACTCCGCCGAAATTTAAGTTACTTTTACATTCTGGTGATCTGTTGGAATTTATTACTGATAGCAAGCGTGATCATCTATAAGATTTCTGTTATTGGAGTACTATTCCTTTGTTTATCTTTTGAATATATATATTTTTACAAATACTTATTTACCTTACTTATATCTTAATTGGTGTTGTTTATTGCGTGCGAAACGCGCGTTGGATTACAATGGTGGAAATGATAAACAAACGGTTTTCTATGAATATAATAATAAATGCTTACCTACTGAGGGATGGCCATCCTAAAACTATTAAACTACCAAAATACAATATCGTTAAACTAATCAAAACACTACTTATTGTCCTTTATGCAGTTCATCCCGTCACATCGCGAAAACAGCAAAACACCGCCTGTCCCAGTCGCGTTGCGCGTGTCCTCTCTCTCTCTCTTACTTAGTCTGTTTCAGCCGAGGTTTCAGCAAGTCTAAAGCCGCGCGCGCTTATTTTTAAATTTTAAATTCGTTTTTAAAAAAAACACTTCTAACAAAGTTAGTTAGTGTCTATAGTTATGGTGTAGGTACCATAAATGTCTACTATAATATAATAATATACTATATGTTGTATGTGGGTAAGTAGTTGTAGTAGAAAATTAGTTGACTGTGGCCGTCAGCTTGACGTAGTGTACAAACTGATTCTGAAAATTGTGGGCCCTACAGACTTCCGACTTGTTGGTCCGATTTGCACGACGTTCTTCTTCAATTCTACCAACTACTATGCGATCAAAAATTAGTGCTGTCCAGTCACCTTTGGAGTTTTTATTTACATGCTAAATCGTACTTAACTTGAACTTCCAAAGGCGATTCTGTCGCAACTCATTTTTGATCGCCAGTTATTACCTGATGTTACCTACTTACACACGCAGTTTGTTGACTTTTACTTTTGTTCTAGAGAAATTTTTCACTAAGTCAATAGTATTCGAGTTATTTGCGAGTAAAATTGTTCATTTTTCACTTATAATTGCACAAGAGGTTTGTATTTTACCGAGTAAATTTGGGTTGTATAGGTAATGAAAATCTGTTGCCTAGCAATTAGACGAGAAAAACTGTCAACTAATAAAAATGCGACACCGCAGGTGGAGCATTTTTAGGTTGACAGTTTTTCGAGTCCAATTGCTAAAAGGAAACAGATTTGAATTGCCACAACCCAAATTTATTCGGTTTAAATACAAACCTCGAGTGTAATTCGGCAGGACAATTTAACGAACAAGAAATTCACCAAACTAATCAATTATTGACAGACGTCAAACTAGTCATATGGGTAAGGATAATGCGATTATTGGTTCGAAAATGAATAAGTGAAAAAACCACTAGTGCATTTGTCGCTGGAAAGGTTGCAGGTAACTTTTGCCGCTGTCAAAGTGACAATTACACTGCGGCTTATGTGATTTTTTATACATGAGTTGAATTGTCAACAAAAAACCGACGTTTTTAGACGGTTTTTCGCAAATAACTCTAAAAATAAGTATTGTATCGAAAAAAGTATTCTTAGCAAAAATATAGCTTATAAAAAAACAAAAACAAACAAAATGGTCTATATATGAAGTCTGTAGACCCAGTAGAAGCAAAGTTGTAGCCCATGAAAAGTAGGTTCTCATTCGTCAAATTCCAAATCGAGTACTTCAACGTGAAGTAACCAAAAAATGAAGCGCTTCGGGGAAAACTTATGAATACTTTTTTAAAGTGTTTGAAAAACCTTTCTTTTTGTTTTTAAGAAAAGTTCCTAGCATCAAAACTAAGTGAGTTACGCTCAAAATAAGGTTGGTCCTTTTTTTTGGTAAAAAAAATCGAGGAAATCGCCCCCTAATTAGCACCCCAAGTGTAATTAAGCGTTACCGCTTTACAGTTTACTTTATTTATGTATTGTTTATATGATATGTAAGTTTGACGGTGCACAGAGCTTATTTTTGAAAAAATGTAGTTTTGAAGTAAAAAAATTGCCTTTTTTTCAAAATAACTTCAAAAGTATTAGTGATACGAAAAATTTACAAGAATAAAAAAATGTAGCTTTTGCTTTTCTGAACATTTTGCTTTTTTTGTTTTTCTGTAAAACAAAAATTGGTTAAGATATGGCTGTTCAAAGTTTGCATACACTCGTCATTAGCGACTCATTCGAGCCCTTTCAACTACAACCCTTTCAAAAATAAGGGTTTAAAATTTGAATAATCTTATAGTTTTTAAAAAAACGTACAAAATGGTTTTCTAAAGCACTTCGTAGCTTAAAAATTAACCGATTTATGAGTAAAAAACCAATCACATATTTAATACCTCAAAACGCGTTGTAGTTACTGGAGCATTGTAAGATACACATAATGTGCTATTAAGGCACAGACATTTTATTTATTTTATTTTTTTCTATTTGTTATTGAAAATCTAGAGATCTAGGACCTATATTTCAAACAATAAGGGTTGTTTTTTAATTGAAATAAAATAAATTCGTAAAATGTTAATTACAAAAATTACTGTACATATATAGGTATATAGTATCAATGAAGAAAAAAATTACTATTCGAATTTCTTCGCAAGAGTTGGTTTTTATAAGGGTAGAAATTATGTGGTAAAAAATAAAAGTAGCAAAGAAATCTAAATTTATTGTTACTGTACTTATAATTAAACAATCCCAAATTGCTTGAATTTACAATTATATGATTAATAGGAGTAGTTTCCACCCCTAAAAAATAAACAGCAACCAACGACACAAATCCAATTTTGAAGTGGAGGGTATGAATAACCTAAATCCAAATTTACATGCAAATCAGTGGAGCCAAAGTATTCTATGACATTGTTTTAATCATAACTATTTTAGAGGTAAGATTTTTATTTTTATTTTTATTTTGCCTTTATTTTTTAAGTGGGCGGGGTTTCAGCCGAGGCTGGGGGTTAAACTCCTTTAAAAGATGTTTTGAATCAATTACCCACTTTAATTTACAATTATACGATTTTTTTTTAATAGGGGTAGTTTTTTCCCCTAAAAAATAAAAAGCAACCCTGGGCTCAAGTTCAAATTTGAAGTGGAGGGTCAGTAGAACCTAAATCCAAATTTTCATGCGATTCGGATGAGACACGGAAAATTACACAGTATCGCCGTATTCCACGTTCATTTACTGGCCTACTAGAAAGTTCTTAGAGAATATTGCACAATTCTGAAAAATAAAACCGCCTATGACAAACAAAAGCTAATGCTAAAACTTAAAATCAATTAATGACAATAACGATTGTTTATTGTCACAAAAAAGTATTTCAATAATGTACAAGTTTCACTGTGTTCACCAAAATCCAAATTCGATTAGATTAGGTATTTAACTGAGAGACCAAGATTGAGCATCGAAATACTGTATAGTAAGTAGGTACATATTGTAGGAAACGGTTAGCCAATTAAAAAATAAAAAGATGTCGCCCACTTTATTGGAATGTAATGATGAATGTGTTAAACATGATCTAAATTAGGGGAGAAATAGTCCAACCACTAAAACTGTATCAGTCATTTACATTTATACAAGATATGACTTATTTAATGGATAAAAATCCAACATCAAGCTGCACACTCATATTGCACATCAGCAACATTACAATACCTTACATTGATGCTGCTACACAGTAAGAGAAATAATGGTAATGTGTTTAGTAATTCAATTTATACAATCTTACAATATTTAAACAAGTCTTAATCTTTATTTAGCTTATCCCTTTATAAGATATTTATTTACACTAACGTTTATTCTAGCGAGTTAAGCATTAGCAACTGCTTTAAAACTTTTGTTTGTGAAGTTTCCCTAATTTCACCCGCTAAGAACATTTCATCTACAACTGTGTAAACCTTATAAAAGTTAAAAACCAGATCTAATTCGCAGACATTGTGAAAATATTCATTTAACACCTCGACGAAATTGTGAATAGCTTCTAGATATGATAAATTATTGTCATTGACATCGACACAGATGCAAAAGTACAAACCGGCATACCTCCGATAGACTATTTTGAAATTACGAAACTATAAAGAATTCGTTAAATAGTACATTCAAAGTAATAAGCAACGTACCTCAACGAAATTAGTGTGTTTAGCATCACGAACCGTGACTACAGCGTGTACCTCTTCAATGAGCTTTTGCTTTTCATCATCATCGAAATTCATGTACCACTTTGCGAGGCGAGTTTTGCCTGCTCGGTTTTGAATTAAAATGAAACGAATCTAGAATTAATACAAATGTAACAAGATTAAGGTAAACACCCCAAGTATGTTGTTCAGTGGTGTTCTATTTACCATTTCAATTTGTGGTAGAATTAAAAAATTCTCTAAACAAATCGGATGTATCTTGTATCTATACGCCCCCTTAGATTTTAGGTTATTTTTCTTATTACGTCACTTTTTCAGAGGTGACAGAGGATAATTGAACTACTGGACGCGTTCAGTACGTACATTGATTATATCGGGTGATCGAAAAGAACTGCAGACAGTTTAAATTGGGCGCTTTAAGTTTGTAATGATTTTTACTTAAGGAATTGGCAAACATGTTTAGAAGGACTTAAAGCTTATATGTATTTGTTTTAAGAACTTATTGAATTCTTAAGCGAATAGATAATGGGATGCAGTTAAATGTCTCGATCTCAGACAAATTTAAAGAAGACAGTAGCTCTTTCAATAATGGATTTTAAAGCTTCCCTGCATTTTACTGATTTTTCAGTCTGAACAATTCACTAAATTCTTGAAATTGAGTAAAATCCAATTTACGCTTTGGACTTTGTACTCCTAATAGAAATAACTTTACCTCAGTTTTACTAAGTTTAATGTGCAAAAAACAAAAAAAAACACATAAATTACAAAAACAAACAGTTAATAAAATCCTTCATCCTCCTCATTGTTAATCTCTGAATTAGCAACTGTGTTAATTACAGTTGCCAGCATATGCCTCGGTATTTCACTGCCTCGTACTTGAATAGTATAACAGGCATACTCCATTTTCTGTAAGCTTTGTTTTAAGACATACACCTTTCGACCAATTTCTTTATATCCCGAGGTGTTAATGCCTGCAAATTCGCACTCTAAGTATCTACAGCCAAAGTGAAGATTTTACATACCCAAAAACCCTGTATAAATGTCTTTAACGTAGTTACATATACGAAAACAATCTTCAATATTTCCAGATCCCAAGCTGTTAATGCATCGTCTCATTAACTCGCCAGTAAAATCACCTAAACCAAGGAAGAAATCGATCGGGGGAATGGTGACGTTTAATTCAGTCTTCGGTACTTCAGTCTCAGTCGTGTTTTCTGTCATATCGTTAGGTACAAGATAGGATAATTTTGTATCCAAATTTCTCCAATGCTCAATATTGCCGTAGCGTAAAAACTGATAATACAACAATGCTTCTATAAACTCCTGCAAACCGGCAGTGTACGCGCGTATATACAAGTAGTGATCTTGACCATGGAGCTCTTGGGCAACCTGCTTGAAATTCTTCTCAGTCAATTGATTCAGCCGTAAATCAGTTTCTTTATAAATTTGTTCCTTTTTGTCATCCCTAAATCAAAACAAATTACTTAAGGTAGCAATTAAAAATGAGAGCGCATACAAATCAGTAGCAGCACTATGTAGTAAAAATATTATTCGTTTGCTCTCTATTGTAATGTCTCTCGATAATTTAACAATACGTTCGTAGCGATCATGTTTAGAATCTAGCTCCACAGCATAATTTTTAAACATCTGGTATACAGGATTATTCTCATTTAAGTGTTCTTCCAGATCTTTGGTTTTGTCTTTCGCACTTAGCTTCGAATGATCACTCCTGTACTTATTGTAACCTCCTCTGCGATGAGGTCCTGTGAATATTATTTTATAACATGGTTATAGTATAAGGTTAACGTGTACCTTTACTTCCTGACATGGTTTCTTTTCTTTTAATCCTTTTTCAAAACGATTGATCTGCAAACTATCATGGACAAAGCGGAATTGAGGTTATACAAAACAATTAACGTCAATCTGCAAATGTAACATTAATGTACAGGGCGTTTATAACATAATGTACAGGGTGTATGGTGGTATTCATTGATTGTGTTGTAACATGGACTTGCGACTTATGGCCGTTTGCGCCGACAAATTTAAGCTGGACTTAGCTTAAGCGCAGCCTAATATCCATGGCAACCATTGTCTCAATAATCGTTTCCATGGATTTTAAGCTACACTTAAGCTAAGCTCTGCTTAAATTTGTCGGTGCAAACGGCCATTAGTAACAGGAGCTTTCCATTGAAAAACAATTGTTACTCAATTGTCGCATTTACCTAACGTAGTTTTGCCTCTGGCTACGAATGCCACTCTCCCACCAAATTTTTCAGTCTATTCGCTGAACGGAAAAACCGACACGGCCCCCAGAGCACCAGTTTTTTCAACATAGGTAGATATTGCTGAGACTAACCCTCTCGTGCTCCACAGCGACGGTTTTTAGAACTGGCAACATTATTTTCTCGAATATAAGTTCTGTTTTCTTTCCTTATGAAGCGGTACATGCATACAATTTCTTATACTGGAAAATTTATAAAATAAAAATTTTTGATGCCCAAGTCGAACACCTATTACAGCTGCTGCACCCACATTACAAAGTCCCTAGATAGATATAGGAACATTTCGCACTCCAACCGAATCAGTATTCTGCTTATTATTACAAAATGTTGGCATCCCTTACTAGTGTTAGCATTCCTTTTTCAAATTTGTTGCAAGGTGTGTTATATGTTATTAGTGAGTTTGTGGATTAGTATAAGGCAATTCTATCACAGTGAGAAAGCAGTAATTCTACAAAAGTTAAAAAAGACAATCCGTGTTTTTGGAACAACAGTCATTCTTTGGTGCAGTGCAGGCGATTTTAGGCCATGTTGTCACCTTTCCTACCAACATGAAGTTGCACAAGAGAGACAAATTCAAATATACTACACAAGTAATTATTTACTTACTTCTATTAATAATTTATCCATCGAGTTACACAGACATCTTACACATGTAACACAGATTTTGTGCGTGTTTTTACAATTTAGGTAGTTTCATTCTAATAAATTCTTTATGGAATTCTTGTACAGGAAAATACAACTTACATTTAGACTTTAAAAATATAAATACTTAAGTAAATATATGTAACCATTGAAAAAATAAATTTACTGACCCGCAGTAATAACGACATTTGTTAAACCCTAATATTATTTCGGAAACTCTGCATTACTAACGAAGTTAATAGTTATACAAGTTACAATTTGTATCACATATAAACAATTAGACTTATATCTAAACAGTAAAATCTTTCGCCATTTAAAGCTACACTAACGTTTCTTGTGCGTGTTTTTATATTTATTTAATTAATTTTGAAATGCGGTGACGACCACATGAAGGAATAATTGTACTTTATTTATAGATAATCTTGTGCACAGTTATGAAACATACTGGCACATTGGAAGAATTATGACCTTGTACTAGCCACTTACATACAAACGATAAAGTAGGTAAGATGCCATATTTGAACCATTGTTGTGTTGTATTTTCTTGCTAATTAAAATGAACTTACACGAGTTAAATATTTAAGTTTTCAAATATTGTTTGCTTCAACCACTTTGATCGCTTATTGTTAATAAACATAATCGACCCCACATTTAGGATAGCTGCCAAAGTGCAACTCGAAATAATATTTATATGTCTAACCATACACATTAGCAAACGTGGGGACCTGGAATTAAATATAAAATATTACCTACAATCAATTTTACTCCAACCAGGAACAAGTGATAATCCAAAATGTGGGGATCAACTGTTAATTTAGTACATTTGTAATCCGCTTTTATTTGTATTATTAATTATTGGGCAAAATATAATTAAATATGGTATATTGCATTAGTTACCCTGGTGAAGTAATAAGGTTCATATAAATTCACTAAAGTTCGACATATTACTACAGTTAAAATGGTAGGTATGCGCAAAATTGATTTAAATGCGGAATGGTAGGTAAATTGAAATGCATCAACTTATGACAGAGCATCACGTACTTCTTGTGGTATTTTCTTTACAAACGCACTATGATCTACTCCTTGTGCAGTCGCTAAAACTCCACGTAGGTTAGGATGTTCCACTTCCTTATGATATTCGTACGCCCCGCCGTGTATATCAGTTAGCTTACCACCCATTGCAGTTAATACGGCCTCTGGTGCGCAAGTGTCCCACTTCTTACATCCCTTGCTCGGAAAGACGTACGCATGGGCTTTCCCTTCCATTAATAATAGGACCTAGAGAGAAATTTTCTCGAATTAAGTCTGCTAGCATAAAAGGGGCAATTTGTCATGTGGCGGTTTCTTAGTTCTTTTACATAACTTACTTTATGCCCAGCTCCTCCCACTCTTAAAATGTCATCTGGCTTAAACGCCTCAAGTGCCATATTCACCAAATCATTCGAATGCGATCTAGTGGTGGTCAATATAAGTTTCCCAGTGGGCGGTGCCACTGGTTGAAAACCCCCAGTACCGAGTCCGACCAAGCCCCATAAGGTACGACCCATCAAATCTGCACTTTCCGATTTGTAATTGTAATAAGGCTGATGTATAACGCCTCCGACAGCTTTGCCTCTAACCGAAATACCGACTAATACTGTAACATGGTCCAATAAGCCCTGTTAGAATAATAACATGAACACTGTGGAGTTGCAGCTGTACCAAACTTACTTGCGTATATTCGGTGGTACCGTCCAGTGGATCAATCCATACTGTCACATCACTGCTAGGCACGTCAATATATTCTGATGGACACTGCTGTAACAGTACGTGTTGATCGCAGTCTGTAACGATCCAATCACTTGGGACCTAAATGAAAAAATAGTATATTATATACCGCGGGACTGAAGTAGTACTTTTAATCCCGAAGGTCGGGCCATAATTTACCTGAGGGATTAAGACCACTACTTCAGTCGCAAGGTGTATACGATATTTTTCGTACTTCAGAAACTGAAACACTTAATATGTATGGAGTTAGAGAACGCGTTCTTTCAAAAAATCGCTGATTAACCAGTTACCATAGGAACGTTGCGTTGGTACGACAATCCCTATGCTATGGTAACAAAAATAATTTGGAAACTGTCATTGCTAGTGTCATAATTTTGGTGGTGGGTGACAAAGGTGTATTTGATATTGATCAAAAGCAGCCAATGTAGGTAAAGAATTGATACCACCGAAATTCAAAAAACTATATGAGCAGCAGTACGATGCGTTTAAGAAGTAGTGCCGCATACAAAATGTGGAACAACCTACTGAAATTGCCTTGTTAGTAATTTCATCCTTCCGGGATTTTCGTCCAAATTTAATCCCGGCGGGACAAAAAGTGACACTTCAGTCCTTGTCATAATGGAGTGAAGTTGTCATTTTAGTCTCGGAAGTACGAAAAATAATATTTGATAATATCGAACAGTCATGTCAAAAGAGACTTTCGTTCGGCTACTTCGCGATCATGAATTTAAGATTGTGATTCTTAGGATTACGTTTTACAAAAGAACGCCACTGACCTCTATTTAAAATGGATACCTTAACACGTATGGGATGCGCAGTAAATTTTTAGACAAATTCAAAGATCCTCAAGGTATTCGTCAGTTTGCGCTGTAGCGTTGTTTTGGTTTTTAGGTTAGTATTAATGACGATATTAATTTGAAGCAAGTGGGAATGAACAAGTTGAATCTAGTTTGGTTTAATCGAGGGTTTAATGAAGATGCTAATTCCCGATCTGAAACTTCTCCCTCTTCCAAACGACTTTCTTCTAAACTCTTCAACAAAACAACAAAAATGTTCATTGAGTAAAATAAAAAATATAAATATACGCATGATGGAGAAATACCCACATGCTAGGGTATTTTATTTAATACACCAAAATATATAATTTAACAAGTGTTTTTGTTTTCAAACATCCACAAAATCCAAAAAGGTTTATGGTATATTAAAAAAAAAACATAAATGACAGGTAATTATACAAAAATATTTGTAAATTACGTAAAAGGCATAAATTACTGATAATTTTACTGTAAAATTACAGTTTTTTAAAACAAATGGTAAATTACATAAAATACCAATACAATTGGTAATTTTACACGAAATATTACACACTTAAAAAAAACCTGTAATATCACATCACTAGTCAGAATGTACAGTTGGCCCAGAACCATGGATCAGTTTCCTGTGAGGACATAAATACAGGGTTTTACCAAGGTTTTTTGAAATCAACAGTTTAATTACAAAACGTTTTTACAAAAAATTTACAACAACATGGCAGTCATTTTAAATTTTGGAAATTGATTAGCACAATTCAATTTCAATTGCAAAATGTAATAAGGAAGTAGTTTATTCACGCTGCTTGAAGTGTAAGTACAGGGAGGTGGGTAGGCGTGTGGTCTTGTAAACAAAAAATTTGAAGGATGTCCACAAATTTTTGTAATTCTTAAAAAATGTGCTAATCAAAACTGATTTTCACCCTTAAAAACATTTTCTGGATTATAATGCAAATGGGGGAATCCTACACCCTTTCTAGGAGAATGAAAAAATTAGAAAACGAAAACTGAATTTAAATTTTTTTTCCTCGTAAAGGACGCTCGAGAGTAGATTGTGTAACCATATTCTTAACATATGTGGAATCGTGGAAGGAGAAAGGTATACCCTTGGGTATATGCAGAAAAAAAGACAATGAGATGAAAAATAAATTAGGTAAATAGGCAAAAATGAAGAACATGAAATTTTAATGTTTTTCTTTTTTAATATCCACAACAGAGAAAAAGGTTGTTGTTTTATTTTAGTAAACCTTATGAAATACCTGTTACATAGATTGAAATTAAATACTTGTTAGATCCAAAACTAATTAACTGAGGGCACATATTTCCTTGGTGGTGGTGCATTTTCCATTATTTTTAATACTTTGAATGTCATAGTACTTTTTATGTTTACAACGTTCAATCATAAACCTTGACATGAAGTATCTAAATTTCTTTCAGTGTGGTAAGTAAAAAAAGTTTACCATTCTATTTGTCAATGCCAAGCAATAATTGTCATTATTAACCCCCACTATAAAAATCAATTAATTTCCAAAAAAAATCCATAGCATATTAATAGTACACTCCCGAAATAGTTATTTGTGTACCAAGGCCGTAAAAGTGATCTTTTTTGGCCGAAGCTGCTGTTTGTGGCCGAGGCGGTAGCCGAGGCCGCAATTCAGATGAGGCCTAACAAATCACTTTTGGCCAAGGTGCACACAACATTTTTTAGGCGATCATCAAAAAAGAATTCAAACATTTGCTCATAAACATATTTTTTCTGAAAATCATAGTTATCTTAGACAATTAAAAACAAAGCAATTCCTGTCATATGTAATAAATTATAATTAGCATCTTTGCGTGTGTTTTGTGCGTATCAAAATGGGTGATAGCGACAGTTCAGGATGAAATTTTGGAAGCTGCAAGCTTGCGAACCTAAGCCATATATGATATAAGAGCTGGCGTTTGAGAGTAAAAGTACAATCGCAACTTCCTCCATTGCACAAGATTTTAATAATGTCAAATGCAATAGGTCCTTCGTAACTGTGGCTTCCAAGACCTTATAGTTAACATGCTGTACAATTACTAGAAACCTGATTACCTACTTTGATGGCAGGTATAGGTAGCTACTTGTGTTCTCGTTTAATTGCTGGTGATTCTTCGCATAATAATGTAAGCAATAACATCTTCCTCATGTTTTGGTTCTACACTTCAAAAAGGTCTGCAAGCAGCAAAGATTGAAACGTCAAACTATAATTTTAAATGTGAACGTTGTGATTATGCAAAATAGTGTGAAACATTCCTACAAGTCCGAAAATGAAAAAAACGCACGTGGATGGCCCAATCCTTGATGGGGCTAGACCAGATAGACGCTTTGTATTAAACAGATTACTGTTTCTCACACATCAGTTTCAAATAAGTAGGTACAGTTTGACAGATGTGTACAATAAAGTAAAGTTTGACAGAAGCGTACAATAAAGTTAAACTTTATGGCTGCAAAAGCGTCCACAAAATCAACGTTTTTGTGATGATAGCCTAAAATAATGAATAATTCACTTATCCTACAGTAAAAACAATTAAAAACACTGCAGTTTTTGCTTTTAATTTATCTTTTTAAGTGTACCTAGATAATCAGTGATGACAAATTTCATCAAAACCAAATGACTTGGCACTTACCTCACAACTACTCCCGCCTTCCTCCCCAATAATTGTCAGATTTGGGTACTGCTGTGACAATGAAGCCATAAGACAGCGCTCTGCGGATCGATCTGCTTCAGTTTGCAAATCGTTTTTACCCTATTAAAATTATTAGTTCGTTCAATCCAAATGGACTATTACACTTTACCTTTTCAACAATTCCCAGTTCGCCCCTACTCATAATATCACGAATGATTTTACCAGCACGAGTAGCAGCAGTCACCGATGAAGCAATAAGCCTAAGAACTAGTGGCACACTTTGTGCCATTGCCATTGCTATGTTTTTTTGGTAACGCTTGTCAGCTACAACAAGGTACATTGTTAGTAAAATGTTTGGGGGTTAACTGTGAAAAAATATTGGGTCATTACTTACATCACCATACAGTAAATATTAAAAAGATCATTAAATTATGAATAAAGATAATGTTGCACATTAACATTCAATAAAAATGTTTTTTTAACAAGATTTATATCTACCTTTTAGAATCTATAAAACTTGAGTAATACCGGTCCAACACAATTTTTAGTAATAAAACCACACTTATATTAAGAAAACAATAAATAAAATATGCACAGAAAATAAGTATGGATTGTCTAAATTAAAAAGTCAATTTTACCCATATATATCTCTTATATATATGATTTTACCAGCAGGCTGTGGATCTGCAATGTCACGGACACGGCACACTTTTGTTGTGTCTACGTGTACGATATGCGTTGCTCTAAAATACTGAAATCACAAGCACAATGTGAACGACAGTAAATTTTTAATTTAATACTCGACCTCTATTATCTAACCATCAGTGGCGGCTCGTAAGGGCTGAAAGAGGGTGGGCACAAGTAAAAACTTGCCTCCTATGTCTTGTACATAAAATCCATTTTTCTATTTTTTAAACGGGAAAATACTTCAATGACCTTGTTATCAAAGTCTTTCCTTTTTTTAATAATCGCTTGCACACCTTTTGCCTTCCCACTCATAACGGATGCACCGTCGTAAGTTTGAGCGATTAATTTATATTTAAGACTCGAAGTGACATCAGACGTAGACGTAGCAGAATTTAAATTTAAAATAGTATCGAATTCCTTTAGCAATGCGTTTGCTAACAGATCAGCTTTATGTCCACCCGGTTTAATAAATGACCAAAAGCGTTCAAAAATTTGTCCATTGAGCACATACCGAAGAATTACAACCATCTGTTGGTGATTAGAGGTTTTGTATAGTTTTTGAAACGCCTTTAAACGCTTGCGACCCTTTCATATGCATCGCAAGAGCGCCGTCTAATTCCGATGGGAAGTTAATTAAGCCTACATAAATACCTGGGTTATCCGACGTCGATGTTTCATCATGGCTTCGTAAGTCGTAATGCCAATTCAAAGGCCCCGCAAAATTTAATACACATAATTAACCGGCGCAAAATATGACGGTTTTTTTCCACTTCTTCGTTGTTGTACTAAACTAAATGTCGCAAATAAGCACTGTTTTGCCTAAAAGACTGAAATCCATACAGGCATTCATATGCGAAACGGAATTTTCGTGTTTCTTTGCCCTCTCCGCGATGTTTTTTAACCCATCTACCCCACATCCACCATCATTGATTAATAATCATAATAAATTAATGACACTACTATAACAATAACAGAACAGTAGAACGTCACTTCTAATTACGAACGAACATACGCGCGCGCAATAAAAAAGAGCACACCACATAAGAAAGTATTACAGGCGTACTGGGAACTCGAAGCTCCGTGCCCGCAACTTTGCATTTAAATCTCGCGTACGCGAAGTTACCCAAGGTCACGCAAATGATGTTCGCGAGTCCGGACATCACAGACTGTGCCCGGCAGATTTAAGTTTTAAGCGTTTTGCGATACATATTATATCCAATCTGCTGCGGAAGGACGGAAGGAAAGTTTGATACCATCCGTTATAAAAATTATTAATTAAAATGTAAATGTATGTCAAATAGAAATAATTCACTGATTGATCTGCTAATTTATTTCCGCTGTTTACCGTGGCGATTGAGTGGGCACGTGCCCCTGTGCCCTTTAGGACCAGCCGCCACTGCTAACCATTGTTTAATCTGGCTATCTCATACGTTTATGCTCGCAATAAATTCGACTAACCAACGTAGGTAACTAGTTTTTAGCGCATTTTTGCAAATTTATTTGTAAAAAGTAGCTTTTAATCTCACTTTGGCTGGCTGGCCGTGAAATTTGTCAACCTTAGGGACATGGCTACATGATGTGGGGTTGGCAACATCTGGGCGTCATCCTCGAGCGTAGTATACTAACGTGAAGGTTTTTCAGTTTTTTCCTATCTTCTACTACAGTTTTGGTCCGATTCTTTTCAAATTGGTGTCGTCTGAAAGATGTTGTAAACACGCACAACTCCTGCGTGGCGGAATTTTGTTTTTTGTCCTAGGGGCGAAATTAACCACCTTTTGCGGGGCGCGCGCGCGCGTCTTCGAGAAGTAGTCAACTTCGGGCGCCTTTTACCTTCCGTTGCGAACTCACGCGGTTTAACGTTTCGTAAATCTCGAATCGCTGTCTCTCTTTCTCGTGTCGCCACTAGAAGCGAATTGCGGGTGAACGGCGGGACGTCGGAAGTGGCTACCGTCAAAGGGAATGTGGTAGCCCCCGACACGATTTTAACTTTAAAAGCGAATTGCGGGTGCACGCGGAAAGTGGGAAACGGTTAATGAATGTAGTAGCCTTCGACAAGATCTGTTATTGATGGTTGAGTCGAAAGTGGCTAATAGAATACTGATCTGCCACACAAAAATGCGCTGAAGTCCCTTCGATCTCACACGAGGACTTTGATAATTTTTTTCACTTAACTCCAAGGTAGGTTCTACCATATTGGGTTCTACGTACGCTAACAGTAGGGAAATTTAATCAACACGGCAACGTTTAAACATGGCCACCGAAATTCCCTACAAAAGTCAGAGCTGGGTAATTATTTCAAATGAATCTATTTTAAATAGGTTTTTAAAATCCAAAATAGGCATTTGTATTTTAAATAAACTTATAAAAATGATTTTATGTTTTGTATTTGAAATAGATTTTTCAAGGTATTTTCTATTTTATATTTGAAGCATTTCTGAACCTATGTAAAAAAGCTAAATTTTGTATTATCAGCTTTGTATCGTTCTATAGTTTTAGTGATGCCTATGGACTTGCTTATGTTGGATCAATATCCAATAATAAGAGAACTGTTTTTTAAGTACAACACTACAATTTCTTCGTCGGCTCCTATGGAACGCCTGTTTTCCTATGCATGAATGATTACGCGACCAAAGAGAAGACGTTTAACAGACGTACATCTTGAAAAACTGCTTTTACTTAAAGCAAATGGATAAATCATGAGAAACGATTTTTTAATATGTTCTTGCTTTATGAATATTATAATAATAGCCCTCAATGTAACAGGTACATGGTAGTACATATTTGAAATACTTAGTTGAAATATCTATTTTCTATTAGGTATTTTAAATATAAATAGTATTAAATATCTTATATTTAAAATAAATTAGCATTTCTTATTTGAATTTTTTATTTTAAATATACCTACTTTGAAAAGTATTTTACCCAGATCTGACAAAAACTAATCGAATTCCGCTCAAATTTGAAATCAAAGAGTGGGGCGTTTTGACCATGGGTGCGCTCCACTGATCTAAATAAAAAATGGATGACCAATACCGAAAATGTTACGACCTCGCGCAACGTATTAGGCGTCATGCGCAGTAAACATAAACGAGTACTAAAGTGATTGTTGTTTTGTTAGCTGTCATACCCTATACGTGCATTGAAATTTCATAAAATGTAAATTGGTTTTCCATGACATAATTGGAATCGCTACAGCGCAGACTCACGAAAACGTTGAGGACGTTTCAATTCGTCTAAAAATTCACTGCGCATCCCATATATGAGTGTCCATTTTAAACAGAGGTCAGTGGTGCGTTCGAGGACAATGCGTTTTAGCACAATCAAGCGCCATTGCGTCGGATGCCTCAGCTGTTCAGCTTCAGTATCAGTTGGAGACACGGCAGTTCCATGCGTTCACGGTCCAGCCACGATAAGATGGTGGCGACTGACCTCGTCTCGTCTCGTAGGAGGCTAAAACAGAATTAGAGTCCAACCGGCAATTTCCTAGCGGAAAAAGACAATTAAGCACAAATTAAAGTAGCGGTTTATTCTACGAAAAACATTTCGGGAGAACATCCGGAAACGTAACTGTTGCAAAAGTAAATAGAGAGTTGTCGCACTCTTCCGCTAACGCTACATTGACGTCATCAAATACGGTACCTAAGCAAACTTTAGTTGTCGCAAACTCTCTAATGTTACGGTAAAGCTCAAAATGTCGGTCCTCGAAAAGCGTAGCTGGCCAAGATGCACAAGGATTTACTTACTATTCGGTTAAACGCCAAAAAGCAAAAAGATACAAACGCATATTGTACATTATTTGCAAACGTCGGGACCGGATGCACAGTTTGATATCGGTACTTGAATGCAGCCTGAATTAAATGCTAAACATAACCTAAATAACCTTAAAATTTAAATGTAATATTTGGATTTAGTTATTGTATTTAAAGAAGTTAAATTATGCATTCTGCACGTTTTGTAAGAAAGTGTACAAATTTTAAAATTAGACATAAATTTTGTAAATCATATAGTGATAGTGCATTAGCAAATGAAATGGAAGTAGCATTTTCAAATGGGTAGGTAGGTGTATTTATGCTAAAGATGATTGTATATTTGTAACACATTAAAATTACAGCCGGAAATTAGCATTATCGACGGGAAAGTTAGCGAAATTGGCCGATGGATGTGCTGTGGGAACAATAGGAGACACGTCTGTGATGGTAACCGCTGTTTCTAAATCCAAACCGACTTCTGGTGGTTTTACTCCTCTAATTGTCGATTACCGACAGAAATCAGCGGCTGCAGGTCGCATTCCTACGAATTTTTTAAGACGAGAGTTAGGTCCCTCTGAGCGTGAAATTTTAACATCTCGCTTAATAGATCGCAGTTTGCGGCCGCTATTTCCTGAAAATTTCTGTTACGAAACGCAAATAGTCTGTAACATGCTCGCCGTTGATAGCATTAACAATCCGGATATTGTCTCGATTAATGCCGCATCTGCTGCTTTGAGTTTAAGCGACATACCTTGGAATGGGCCCGTCGGGGCGGTGCGTGTTGGTTGTATTGACAATGAGTACATTATAAATCCTACAAGGCGTGAGTTAGAATGTTCGTTGTTAAATTTGGTTGTTTCCGCTACCAAACAGAATTTAGTAGTCATGATAGAAGCCAATGCCGACAATATGTTGCAACCAGAGTTTTTAAAGGCTATTAAAACCGGAGTTAAGGAGGCACAATTTGTCGTAAACGGTATTGAAAAATTGCAGAAGAGTAGTGGAAAAACTAAACGAACATTTGAAAAACAGCAGGAGCTCTCGGAAGAAGTTAAGGTTGCGATCGAATCTTTGAGTCAAATGAGGCTGAAGGATATTTTTAAAAATCATTCTCTAGACAAATTAAGTAGAGACAACGAGATTAATTACCTGCGCAATGATGTCGCTGATAAAATACGTCTCGATTTTCCCACTCTCGATTATAATTTAGTAGTAGACTGTTTTGGTAAGATCACACGACGGGTTTTTCGTGATTCAATTTTTGAAGATGAAAGGCGTTGTGATGGTCGTGATTTTGATGACTTACGTAATATTTCCTGTGAGGTTGATTTATACAAACCGCTCCATGGGAGTGCCGTGTTCCAAAGAGGGCAAACGCAAGTGTTTTGTACTGTTACGTTGGACTCGCATGAAAGTGCATTGAAGTTGGACCCGTTATCGATATTGACAAGGTTGGTGATCCCCGTTGGTTGTAAAGATTTGTGAGGTTTTGAGGTTCATCATTATTTAAAATTGTGAAATTTTGTAATAGTTCTTGTTGATCTGGCCTTACATACTTGCCTATTTGTTGTCCATGCAGAATGGAAATTTAGTTTTTTCTAGTTTAATGACCGAAACCAAATGGAAGTAGCAACAAAAATTAGAGTATTAAAAAAATCAGTGGGTGTTGCAGCAAATATGCGAAGTTTTTACAACAAATTGTCTATAACTGAGGAGGTGACTTGCAAAAGCCGATAAATCCAATTTATACGATTCGAAGAAAAACGGCAAAAACTTCCCATACAGAATCGCGTAAAGACATACTTGGTTTCTTTTCATAGATCTTTGTTCTTCTGGACCTAGATAGTGATTCAAAAATTTCATGGATGTATGTAATGCCTTTCAGTGTTAAATTAAAGAAAACTATCGGATTTATCGGTTTTTGCACGAAATGTGGTATTGTTTAAGCAATACTACAGTGTTTGTAAGAATAAACGACTTTATTCGTAAAAAAAATTAAAAAACAGCCGATTACAAATTTATTAATTTATTTATATTATTAATTTTATTATTATCAATTATCAATTATTATTATTATCAATTTTGTTTATTAATTATTATTATTTTATCAATTATTATTATTAATTATTATGATTATCAATGCTGGCACCATTATTGTGTCTAGCACGTGGTATGCACATGAAACCTTTACTAAGGATTTATCGGGTTTTGTACAAAAAAAGGCTCTGTTGGGATTTATCGGCTTTTGCTTGAAACAGCCAACTTTGTATAGGATTTGGTATGGTAAATGTCACTTTTTGCTCGAAATAAACTTGATACATCGATAGAGCAGTATAAAATTAGTAAGAAACCGTATCAAACTCGTTTTAACTTTAAAATGGATTTATCGGCTTTTGGGTGTCACCTCCTCAACTGTAGAACTATTTTTAGTACAAATAGATTTCTCAATTTTCAACATTGGTGTGCCAACTTCAAAGTCATTTGCTTGTTCAATAGTGACACTTGTAATTTCAGCGGGTTGAAAGAGAAGAATTTTTTCCTTCATTATGAATTTCCACCATTTGCTACGAAGGAAACGGGAAAAATTGGACCCTTGGGCCGAAGAGAGATGGGTCACGGCGCTCTCGCCGAAAAGGGCCTTTATCCTACTGTGCCACACGATTTTCCATTCACTATTAGACTGACTTCGGAAGTGCTAGAGTCTAACGGTATAATCTCATCAAACCTGTCCATTTTTATACTGCGATTTATAGGGTCAAGTTCCATGGCCTCAGTGTGCGGAGGTAGTTTGGCATTGATGGATGCGGGTGTTCCGGTAACTGCACCTGCTGCTGGAGTGGCGATTGGTCTGGTCACTAGGTGTAATGAAAATGACACGAAACATATTGATGATTATAAGTTGTTAACTGACATTTTGGTAAATATTTGCAATTATTTCAGAGATAATCTTCATGGCAGTGTCCCACACATCGCTTTATAGCGTAAACTAAAATGTAAACAGTTTTTGGTTTGGTTCAAGGTTTAGCTTGAAATTTCAAGGACATAGGACTGGTTGTACAATTGCCAGTTTATATACTTCAGTTAGTTAACTGATAGTTCTCCTTTTTTTAGCGCATTTTCACAAAAATAAAAAGAGTTCGCTATTGTGTTCGTCTATCCGGCCGTCTTACATCTGGAGCTTTATATTAAGGCTCTGCTGCAATTTATTGATGACAAATTACCTTTCTTTTTCTCAAGGTGAAAATGGCAACCAGAAAATTGTATCATAAACAATATAGAAATAACGTTAATTATGCAGGCGACTAGCTCAATCGGTTCTATTTTTACTTAACCTGTCTTACTTGGGTTCCATAAAGTTAAAGTCTGAAAAGCCTGGTCACAAATTCAGGGATTTTCTTAATAATACCTAATACAAATGGATACAACAATAATTTACAGAATTTTCAACAACTTTCTGATCTCTCACTTACATTTTAAATGATAATAGTAACAGGTCCGAATTTTCTTTATCCAATGGATAGTAAAGCTATCGATTTCAAATTACAAAAATCCTACAATTTTATAACGAATCTTCTGGACGAATTTCTCTCCTGTATGTGGAACACCTGGAGTTCTTACAGCTAACCGGGTTCACTCAACACATTGGGGTGGTTAACAGGATGCATTATTAAATCTGATGAAATGAATGCCTCCAACCTCCAACAACAGCTCTTGGACTGCAATGTTTCTGATGATGATCGATTGAATTGCAGATTTTGGTTGTTGATCAGTACAAATTTTGAGTTGGCAAAAGAAACGAGCACTTGCACAAACTCGTTTTTAAGGGTTCGTTCTTGAATTTTAGGTTTAATATGTGGTAAATCCCTCGTTAAATCCCTTTAGTAAACTTTTCACCTTGATTAATTTTAACTTTAGCGGCACAAAAATGAACGCAAATATTTTCTGACTGCTAACAGTTTTCTATATCGCAATTTCACTTTACACGGGAGTATCTTTCTTTCTAATGTGTGGCACTGCGTAGAGCGCCGCAAAATGTTTGTGGAATTTGCTGAATAGCACGTCGTTTACTGATAGTGTCTTTATCTAACTGAATTACCACTGCGAGCTTTTAACCTTCAACGCAGTAATTTGAAAATATTGCTTGACGTAATGCGGTAACCGCGTAATTCTCCTAAGGGTAGCACATGTAACATAACATGTACTTTTTCTTATATTCCAAAATGGGAACTTTCACGCCACTTTTCCACTGGGAAAAATGATAATTACTGGATATTATTGACACTAAACGTCTCTTTGAACTAGTAACTTTGTCTTCTAAGTTCGGTCATTCCGAACGCCAAATTTTTATCTTAGGTTCTAAAAGCCGCTATATGAAAAACGCCGTACTGACCAACGCAAAGCTCTCGACTCTTCGGATGCCCAAATGGGACTCTCTTGATTTCGTGCACTTCGCATCCCCTCTCTCTATACTAAGCCCGCTTAAAACGCCTATTTCATGAGTGAAAGCAATGGCGGCGATACCTCGTTACTTCTAATTGGTTTTCCGACTCTAAGGCTGCCCAAATAAAAGCCCCGCCGCAGCGGCTTTTTGGACATTTTTGTGTAAATAATAAACAAAAATATTGCAGGGAATAGAAGATTATATGGGAGATATGGATTTTAAACTAGCCGGAACAAAAAAAGGTATCACTGCTTTACAAGCCGACATAAAATTGCCAGGTTTACCTCTTAAAATAATAATGGAAGCTGTTGTTAAAGCTACGGAAGCCAAATCAAAAATACTAGATATTATGCAGCACTGTATGTCTAAACCACGGTAAGAACATTACTATTCACGCGAGACCCTATCATTTAAAAAAACCGTAGCATTGTGAAAAAGGAAAATTGGCCAGTCGTCGACAAATTAGAAGTAGAACCCCATAAAAGATCAAGGTTATTCGGCATTGGGGGAATTAATTTGAAAAAAATACTTTACAAGACTGGCGCCCATGTAAGGGTTAACCTTTGATCTCAGCACAGTGTACATTAAATTTGTTCATTAGATATCTCCAATAGACGACTCGTCATTTTCAATATTCGCACCCAATCAACAGGCGATGGACGAAGCCCAAGAAACCATCACGCAGCTGCTCAACACTGAACGTATTCCCGAACTAGAATTCGGCGGAATTTATACTGCCACTGTAGTGGAAGTAAGGGATATTGGAGTCATGGTTACATTATATCCTGACATGCCACCTGCACTGCTTCATAATTCACAACTAGACCAGAAGAAAATAATGCATCCGTCAGCTTTAGGTGTTGAAGTCGGTCAACAGATGCAGGTGAAGTACTTTGGAAGAGATCCGGTGTCGGGATTAATGCGGTTATCCAGAAAAGTTCTGCAGGCGTCTGCGAGATAACATTAATTAAATTAGTAGCCTAAGTTTTTTGTAATTATTCCTAAATATAAAGTTTTTGTTTATGGCTGTATAACAGTTACCTAATTCTAGTTTTTTATTTACCATTTTAAAGCATTCGTTACTCAAAAGTTAATTTAAAAATGTAGCACATTAGCTGCACAGTCATTACTGAATTTTTCATCAATATGGGGTAAGGGTGTTGACTCCATAAGTTTTACGAACTCTTTCCTTGATATGCTTCAGGCATTGAACTATAGGTATACTCTGTAACTGGAACGGCATCGAGCGCCAAAATCGCGTGCCGCAATGATTTTAGGCAACCAGCATAACGTAGGTATTCTCATCCTTGTCTGGCACGTTGTTTTGTATTACATATGCAGGATCGATAACACGTATTTGGGTAAAAATACAGATAAGTAAATAAACTGGGAGGTTGGGGCCTTAGAAAGATAAAGATAAACGCTTGTCGATGCTTTTACAAGTGCCAATATCTATTTGTTAATGGAATATCTTAAAATATATACTTAATAATGTGGTAAACTGCGCCATTTCTCACTCACACACTCACATACTTGATTCTTGAATCTTGAAGTTACAAAAGTATAATGTCAATAATGTCATTCATGGTGGCTCAACGCATTCCATTTGCTTATTAACGTAAAATAAAGTTAGAAACATTCGTTGTGTTCGTTTGTAACGTACCCTTTACATAATATATTAGCAAGGAGGTAGGTACCTAATATATTACAATTGGCGTCGAAGTAAACGTAAATTTAAAAAAGCATTTTTTTAAGAATAAAATGAGTAAGAATTATGGTTACTCTAAGAGCAAAAATTCAATTTAGTCGCAGTGGTCACCGCATTGCCATTAGATGGAAACGAATTGACACGAATGTCTTATGGAACGAAGGCCCAAGGAATCGGTAGTAAATAAAAAAATCAATCGTTAAAGGTATTTTTCGCCCCATTAGTGCGCATTATCAATACTAACGTTGAGTGAAAAATTAAATAATAAGGAACTTCATATTCAAATTAGTAAGTCAAAACGGCTTTATAGGTTTTGGCGGCGCTAACGCTTTTCTTCATATGATGCTCCCTAGAGAGTGGAATGCCCTATTGAATTAGTATTAAAGAGTGCGAAATAAGAATTACCTTTCATAAGGACAGTATAAATGAGTATGAGGTACTTTAGTAAAGAAATCTGAGCGGTGCAAATGCCGTCATGCGCAAAAATATTAAATGCGCGCGTCGAGGTTGAAAAATGTTATCAAAATGTACCCACGAAATTGAATATTTGAATTTTTATTATAAAAATGATTGCACGTATATGCAACACAATTCATGACCATTCTTGCAAATCTCTTAATAACTTAATTTAGACAAAAATAAGCAAAATGTAAGACGTAGTATAAACCATCCCATAAGCCCACATGAGTTAAACAAGGTAAGGGATACCTACCTCTACCCATCTCTCTCTCTCACAAAAATTCGCCACGGCCCCTGGCAATGGCTGATTACGGGCGATGCCGTTCCAGTTACAGAGTTCAATGGCTTCAGGTGAGATGGCCGATGATCCATTGCTATACCAAGGTATATGACGGGTTTGTTTGGTTCTATAGCGTGGTTGTTCATCTTCAGCTTCGTATGAATTTTATGCGTAAATTTCTTCGTAAAAAGTCTGTTTTAGGTTTTTTCCGTATTTATTTTGGTCATCCACGCATCGTAGGATTTGGTATGCATATTCATAGATTTGTATTTGTTTGCGCACGCTACGTCTGCGTAGTACGCATGATGAGCATAAATTCCTGTATCGTCCGCAAATAGTGTTACCAAGGCAGATTTAGAGTTCGCGTAATGAGGTTTCATATGCGGCAACGTAGTGCCGTGCCGTAAAAGATTAAGAGAAGGAGCATTCATAGTTCCGTATGGCCGTAAAACGGACGATACATTGCACATGCGCCATTTGATATCCTTGTTTGCATCATGTTGTCGAAGTTATATTTTTGAGGGCTTGTATGATAACCCGTCTATCCATACAGGATCGAAAGCCTTTTCTATGTCCAAGATTGCCATTACAGTTGTAATGGTCCTAGGGGTCTATCAAGCCGACACTGAAAATGTTGACCAGTCAAGTTGAAACAAATGGACGTTTCGCGGCACTTAGGGGCACTATGGGTGGCACGAATGAACTCCTACTTTGCGTAATCGGTTCTTGTATGTGTTGGGACGTGAGACATAATCGGGAAGGGAATTAAATAAAAGGCAGAACTTTTGTGTGTAAGAAATGACAGGACTAAATAAATATATTACGCACACCACAAGGGTATACCAGAGAAACCTTCTACGGGACAAAAACCGCAGCATAGGCCACACAAGTACATGAAATAAATCACCTACAGCAATAAAACGCAAGAGAAAATACACGTAAATAAAACATCTCAAATTGTATGATAAAAATCAGATAATCAAATTAAATGCAATACATACACACAAAATACACAAGACATTATAAATGCAGTGTAAAACCTGATAAATCAATTCAGTACAAAACCCCATCAAAATACATGTACGATCAATTGAGATATAACTCAACCCGTAAAGGCCCTATATAAGGACCTTAGTGAGATGGATAAGAGAATCGTATTTGCGAATCGGCCGATGCAGCAGCTAAACAAGCTGCAGGAGGAGATCGCATAGATGTCAGCGAGTTAAGACATGTAGATTTAAAAATGGTTCTAAGAGCGGCAGTAGGGTGACCTGAAAAGATGGAAACAGTCTCTAGAGTTAACTCGATGGGAACGGGTAAAAATACATCGTGTGCGGATAGGCCACAGTGATCTCACTCACACATTCCTACTACGTGGTGAGCCTCCTATGTCTTTACTGTGGGGAACAGATCACTGTCGAACACATTTTACATGTGTGTCCCCAGTTGGCGATCAGTAGGACACGTTTTGAGTTACCTGCGAACCCACTAGAAATGACCCGAACAGCTGGAAATATCAGAAAATTAATAGCTTTTTTAAAGGAAACGGATGTATTCGGAAAACTATAAGTTTTGCGTAGGTTAGATATATAATAGGCTAATGACCTTAGCTGTCGATGCCTTTAATCAAATTTAAAAAAAAATAATAAATTGAATGTACATAGGAAACATGTAAATGGTGTGGCTCTACTCCAGACTTCAGTTAACATAAATTAATTTAACACGAAAAGTACATGTGTGAATGCCCATAGCAAGTATTCATGTGAAAATGGATTATCGTTCAAGCAGAACATAGTTTAAATAGAGGAAATGTTAATGAGAGAGCCCCTAAATATCTTGCAGTGCTAAGATGCCAAGAACTGCAATCCGCACGAGACGAGAAGGCAACAGATTCGAAAGATCGAACTGTATTAGGTACCCACTCCACGGAGACAGAATGAACCACTCACACACACAAACATCGAAACATAAAATAAGAGAGCCCCCATTCGTATAGCTAATGCACAAGAACTGTGGCGCGCCACGAATAAGAAAGTAACAGATACAGCCACCAATCAAACTGTATTAGGTACCTTCCTCACAGAATATTCAATCGAATAGAGTAACATCGCACTGATAATCAACTCCTCGTGAATGCAGAAACAAATACTTAATATATAAATATTGCATAATCACCTGTACAGTATAACAAACACGATTCAGATAACGGTACTTAAAAACAAAAGCATGGAGTACGCTATATTTAGATATCGCAGTTTATGCAAAATCAGCAAAATGTAAATAATATCAAATTGTCGCAAGAAATTCAATGATAATTTAATAGTTAGTACAAGAAATAATAAAATGGTTACTGCCTGTAATTACATCTTCAAAACATCACAACCAAAATAATCAAGAAAAAAAACCGGGAACGCGTGATGCTTTCCGTCGACCTCGTCGCCGTCCTCTTTCTTCCGATACCTTAATTTTTCCTCTACCTTCGTTGCGAAAATCCCCTAGTATTAAGCATCTGCGCAAAACAATCGATTGGTTATACACATATTATATAGTTATACAGAGCCAGCATATCATATTTTTTTGTTTCAGAGGTAAAGGTGTGTTGCCTAACCATAAGGGTGGATTATCACACAGTGTTGTTGTAACGTTATGATGCTCACTGTTAGATATCAGGCTGGCTGAATTCAAATGTTTAAAATATTATTTCTACCAAAATTTATTATCAAAATCGGACATGCATTTGTAATCGTACGCCTTGGTTACGTTACAAAAATTGAATTCATACCGATTGAAAGTTTGATTGATTTGGAAAAAAAGGTCTTTAGTACCGTAAGCAAAAATACATAATTATCTAAGTCAAAACATTTTAGTTTTTTAGTGGATTTTGAAACCCTGAAAGGAATACGAAATTAAATACGTATCCGCTCCGTCTTCACCCTAAAGCCATTAGAAGTCAGCATCTTGATAATTCGTCAGAACTTCACTTCAGCCTCAAAAATTAATTGAAACGACAGACGTTGAGAGCAACTGCAAGGTTAGCCACAGTCGAGTTTTTTTCATTAAAAAAATATAGTTACCTACATATTGCATTTTGTTTTTGTTTTTTTTTGCATCATTTAATAGTGTAACATATTGTAATGTGATTTATAAATTTCGGGTTCGATTTATATCAATATTTATTAAACAAAACTAAGACACTATAAAAACCGTACAATTTATATCCATTACCTATTTATCACACACTTCGCAATTTATATTTCCGCGCTCGATCTCGTTCGATAGTAAACTGCCGCGATGTTCGGTCCGCAACCATTTATACACGCAAGCAATGTAAGTCTAGTACATTCTCGAATAATCGCGCGCGTAGAAAATTCCAGAGCGCCAAAGGCGACGTCATGTCTGGAGCATTTCCGTTACACTGCCCCCTTCTTAATTCTGGACGTCTCGTTCAGAAACTGCGTTAGTATTACTTTTTAATGCCTCGTGTCGGAATCTGCAGTCAGAGCCTGCTCGACAAACACCTTTCTTGAAAAAGTAACAGTCCACAGTTTTGCGGAGGGTCGTCCCCTGTGGGTTGAA